TGACAATGTAATGTCGACCCAACAAGTAAGGGTGCCATTTTTGAATAGCTAGCATGATGGCCATCATCTCCCTCTCATAAACTGATTTCAACCTAGCTCTTGCTATCAACACGTAGCTGAAGTAGGCTATGGGCTTGTGATTTTGCATGAGCACTATCCTTAATTCATAGCCCGACGCATCAGTCTCTACTACAAACTCTGGCTGAAATCTGGTAGGGCCAGGATCGGTACCATGATCATGGCCTTCTTTAATCTCTCAAAGGCCTAACTAGCTGTCTCTTCCGATAAGAAGCTATCCTTCTTCACATGTTATGTCAGTGGTTAGTTTATGGTGCTGTATCCCCTCACAAATCTCCTATTGTACCCAATCAACCCTAGGAAACCCCCAGCCCTCTTAGATTCCTAAAGAGGCCATTTCAACATTATCTCAATCTTGGCCTGATCAACGACCACCCTCTTCTAGGATACCACGTGCCCCAAGTAATCCACACTAGCCTGTGCAAAATAATATTTCTTCAGGTTGACTTTCTCCGGTAATACCTTTAAAACCACCTTCAAGTGCTCCAAATACTTCTCATCTGACTTATTGTACAACAGGATATCATCAAAGAACACCAGGACAGATTTTCTGAGTTATGGTCGGAAAACCTTGTTCATGAGGGACTGGAATGTAGCAGGGGCATTGATAAGGCCAAACAACATCACTAAGAACTCATATTGTCCCTCATGTGTCTTGAATGCTGTCTTGGGGACATCCTCCTCTCTCATCATGATTTGATGGTACCTAGACTTCAGGTTCATCTTCTTGAATAACATTGCTCCACACAGCTCATCCAATAGCTTATCTATCACTGTAATAAGAAACTTGTCTGGCAACTGACACATTCTCCTTATTCAGGGTTTGGTTATCTACACAATCTCCAGCTTCTATCATTCTTCTTAACCAGTCGAACTGGGTTAGAAAAAGGACTCATGCTATGCTTGATGATCCCCACCTCCAACATTTCCCGGATCAACTTCTCAATCTCATCCTTCTGGATTTGAGGGTAGTGGTAAGGCCTGACACTAATTAGTGACATCTCCTCCCTCAAAGTGATGGCTTGCTCTTACTCTCTCAGTGGTGGCAACCCCTAAGGTGGTTGAAAGTCCTCACTGAACTGTTGTATGAGCAGTTGTACTGAAAGAGGGATGTCCCTCTTTCCTCCCCTTTGATCTCTTCGAATCTCTATAGCTCCCCCAGAAATCCTCCTTCCGCCTCCTGTATGGACCTTACCATGGTTTTGAGAGACACAATGGCTTTGAAGAGCTCTGCATATCCCTTGATCACCACCCTTCTCCCTTCCACCAGCAGTTCCATCATCAGTGTTCCTCAATTGACCCTGGTATCTTGCAAGGTCTACAACCATCTCTTCCCCAGGATGACATCAGTGCTCCCGCTCCCTAACTCCAATGGGAGAAAGTCCTCCCTCACCTAGACTCCCTTTATGGTCAAAATCACCTCCCACACACTCTACCTTCTCCGTCTTCCTAGTGTCCATCATCACCCCATAGCACACTGTGTCCACCAGTTTCGCCCCCAACTGCTCTACGACCTGGTTGGAGATGAAGTTATGGATATCCCCATTATCTATCAACACCACTACCTCTCTCTTCTCTCACTTTCATAATATGATTTAGAGTGAATCCAATCACTGAGTTCAAGGAAGCCTCTACCATGTCTAAATGCAGCTTTTCCTCATCCTCCATCGATGCCTCACTCCCACCTCCTTCCTCAGCTTTCTTGTAATCATAGACGATGAGAACCTAAAGAGTTCAGTCCTTACACCTTTGCCCCGGTGTATACCTCTCATCGCATCTGAAACATAACCATTTTACCAGCCTATCCTGCACCTCCGCTTTTGTAAGATGCTTGAAGTTTCCTCCAGGGTGAACTCCAGTGCCTTTCTCCTTCAGTGCTTCGCTTTGAAATGACACCGTCTGGGTCTCGGTGCCTAGGTCGTAGAGGTACTCCTGTAAGCCCCTTCCATGATTATTGGTTTCTGTCTTTGAGAACCTTCAATATTTTATAGATTTGAGAAGATGCTGACTCTTGCTTCTTCAGTGGTTGTTGTGGTTGGTGTGAAGCCTCCCAAAGGACTTCCTTATTTTTCCTTTGAGGCTGTTGTTTATTACCCATTCGTAATGGTTTAAAACCATTATTGGTGGGGATTTTTGCCTCTACATGAGGCGATTGTTCCTGGATTGTGAAAGGCATCTCCCAACCATTAGCTCGAAAGTGAGCACTATTTTTTTCTCTATTTTTTTATTTTAATCCAATCAACAATGATGTTGCTCCTACTGGCCTCTCCCTCCTATATATTTTCCCCACCCTCTGAGCAAGCTCCATCAACTTTCTCAGCCCTCTAGGTCTTAGTACCCTGAATTCTGCTCGTCTGTCCTCCATAAGCCCATTCTTCAAATTCCCTTCCAACCCTTCCTCATAAATTCCTCTTAGACTTTCCGACAACAGTTCAAACTTCTCCCGATACTCCATGACTATCCCCTCTTGAGTTATGGGATAGAACTATTCGTGGAGGTCATCTTCCCAAAAGGCTCATAAATGTTCCAGCATACACTCCTTAAATGCCCCTTATGAATAGATCGGATATCGAGCCTCTTTCCACTAAAACTAAGTTAGGACCTTTCCCTCCAAACATAGACCCGTCGCCATGAGTTTTTCCCATTTCATCAGCCCAGTGATAGCAAATTAACGCTCCACTCGATATACCCAACCCTAAGTATCTTCTCCTTTAAAGATCGACATCTTTAGCTTCCTCGATCTCGCATCCATACCCGAATGATTTCTCCCTCCGTTAGTTCACCCCGTATAGTGGTGGTGTGATTCCCTCCCTTTCTATCTTGGTTGATTTGGACCCCCTGACTTCGCCCAACCATGGCCGAGTAGTCTCCCAAAGGGTTCGGCCTACCTCGTCCTTACTGTCATTCCTTCAGGATACCTTGATTTGCCCACCAACGGATCCGCCTGTGGCGGTCCTTGATGGAAAACACTCTCCTCTTCATCCTCCTCCTCCAGAATCTCGTTCCCGTTTGGTTCAGCCCTCAGAACCATCGGTGAGGCTTTTGACTGCATTTCGGTCAACTTCTTTATCATGTCTTCCATATTTCCGAAACGGCTCTCTATGGATGAGAAACTCCCTTCCATGCCAGAGTATTTTTCCTCCACTTTGGCCTTGAGATTTTCCATCTCGCCTTCCAACCTTTCCATTTTCTTTGCCGTCATAGGTTCCAAAAAAGCACTATGATACCAATTTGATAGGAAACGCTTCTAGGAATAGGAGAAAACCTTAGCTGAAATTCAATTTCAGTGAACCCAAAACTGTAAACAAGAAAGATCTATTTAATTGATGATAGGAAGAAGAAACAAACCAGATACAATGGATCTTCGATTGGAGAGAAAGATTCGGCTCTCCCAAACTCTAGCTACCCACTAGAGTCCCTTTCTCTTCTTCGGAAAACTCAATTCAGCAAAAAACATCCCATAAAAGTTTACATTGTTCAAATTAAAACAAGGCTTTGCATGGTCTTAAAGAATCTTTGATATCATGTTTTGGCAGATTCATAAAAGTTATGAATTAAGTTGGGTACAAACAAAGCCATGTAGGTCATACTTTCTTCATAAAATACTCCAGTGATAGTAAAATCTTAATTCTCTTCATATATCTTGATAATATAATTGTCACATGTGATGAAAATATAAAAAAACGAGTCTTCGGAAAAACCTTGTTGAAGAATTTGAGATCAAATATTTGGGAAAACTCAAATACTTTTTGAGAATATAAGTTCAATCAGAATAAGTAATATTCCTCTCTAAAAAAAATAAAAAAAAAGAAATAATTGATTGCAAACCTTGTGAAATCTTAGTTTAACAATGTTAAAAATTGGATACAAATGAAAAAGTAGACATGGGATAATAACAAAGATTAGTTCGAAAAATGGTTGGTCTATCTGTCATCCGTCTGCACATCATATTTGCAGTGAGTCTAATTGGTTGATGGGCTATTAATACACTAACATGAAGAGTTATCTTCAGGCTACTTATAGAATCCTCAATTACTTTAAATCAACTCCTAGTAAAAGGATTCTTTATAAAAACTGGATACTTTATAAATTAAATGGTATATTAATGTAGACTATGCATGATCACCAATGGATAGAAGATCCACGATTGAATAATGCATATTTTTGGGAGGAAATTTGATAACATGGAGGAATGAGTAGCAACATTACTATTTTAATATGAATTTAGATACATTGCCTAAGGTAAATTTGTAATTGTAGATTTATGCCATTCAGTTTGAGGTAAATTTTAAAAGATTGTGGGGCTCAAATATCAATCAATCTTTATAGGAGCCTTTGAGTACACGAATTAAAGATTATCGATCCTCTTATGACCCCATGTGCCTCTTCCTATTCTAGTTGCCGGCTCCATTGGCGACATTTTTTCTTAAATAGCTTTAATTTATTTTCATTATAAGCCTTTTGGAGATGCTTATAAACACTTCCATATTTTGTATAGTTTCAAAAAATAAAATTAAAAAAATATTTTTTTTTTCTGCTTTTCTAAAACTTCCATGTTGTAAACCCTACCAATACTGATTATCACATAACAATAAAAGGAAAATTTCCATTGCTTTATCTTTGTTTGAGAAGTAGTTCTCGTATGCCTTCTAATATTTTCTTATCTAGCTCCTTAACTAAGTATGAAAGTAATCCTTATCTATTCTGTGCTACTTCTAGTCTTCTCACGTTTTTAAATTTAAATGACGATGTCTTTTCAGCCTCTATTTCTTCTTGACTAGATTTATTTGTTTCCTTTATGCTACTTGCTATGATATGCATATTAATTTGAATAAAAAAGTTTTCTTTTGTTGGAAATATATATTTAATGATTATTTTGTCATATGCAAGTTGATTCAACTTTTGATGTTCCTTCTTTGCAGGATGCACGAAACTTTGGGTGGGAACTTAGTGATCAAATTGATTTCAACTGGAAAAAGCTTTTGCATAATAAGGTCAATATGTTCTATTTTCTGCATTTGAGCAATTATTTCTATTTGCTTTACTAGTAACGGGAAATGATATTATGAACTGATCATCTCATCTTTGATGATTCAGAAAGGTTACTTCTTATGACTTTATTGGTTAAACATGACATCCATACTCCATAGAAGGTTTATGTGGAAATGATGGGAAACTCCTATCATGTCTTGTCAAGATTAATCCATTAGTCCTGACGTCTGTAAGCTCATTATATGTTCACTTCTTAGCCGCTTACAAAGTTATGATTGTACCCTGTCTTTTTTGAACAATTATTACGTCCTCTGACCTGACATAGAGGTACGTTCGGCCGCCAATAACATATCGCCACGTGTTCTTACTCTTTACCGCGCGGCCCGACGACTTGACCCGGAGCGGAAATATCAATGAAAAAATAAAAAAAAGGAAAATGACTGAAAATTTAAGAATAAAAAATGGATGAAAGGGAAAATCGAAGAGCTGCACCTCTCTCGATGCTTTCTTCGGCCCCACTTTGCCAAACGATGTAATGCTTCGCTCAAATAATTGTCGTTCAACAACCTAATCAATAAAAAGGGCAAATAACTGAAGAAGAGGCACTCACACTTTTAATTTCTCAAAATTCTACTCCATGCCTTTGCCGTTCCAAGCAGCCCCCTAGCATCAAGCCTCCGCCTTCTTCTCTATTGTCGATTGAACCCCAAAACCCACACGAAGATCCAGCCGCTTTCGCCTTTGCTTCGATGCGGCCCAATAGCCCTGCCCGACCAGTCCTAATACGCGAGCCTCGCCCGCGTTTGACGCCTCAACCTAGGCCCTGCACGCCGCAACTCCTCTAACATGCCGCTCTGCCCTTTTTCGAACACTAGAGTCTCCACATTGGTCGACTCTTACAAGCCCGTGAGCCTCCTCTTTGTGATCTCTCTCAACCGAATACCCTCGCCTGTGGTTCATCTCCTGTTTCGCATGAAACCCCACTCAACCTGCCGCTCTGTCTGTGCACCTTACCTGTCTGATCCCCTGTGTTCCGTATGAATAAACCTACCGCCTGAAATACTTAGCTTTATTTCCACTCCACTTACATAATTAGATCAATTGATTGTGTTTTGTTATATGTAGCCTACATAAATCTAATTACTGTTATTCTCCTGATCCTCAAGTCCACTATGATTTCTTTTGAAATTTCGTTTGAACTACAATTAATAATTTAAGTTTTATTTTTCTCAAATAAAATTAAAACTTAAGCAATCGGGAAGAAATTTTATTTAAGACATTGCTCCGTCAATCTTAGACCTGGCCGGGACGATTTCAAATCCAAGACCTCGCACCATCGATCTTAGATCCTGACTGGAGGAAATTTAATTAAAGTGCTTGCGCCGTCGACCTTTGGTCCAGTCTAGATGGTTTTAGATTCAAGACATTGCGCCGTCGACCTTAGATCCAACCGGGAAGAAATTAACAACAAGTGCCATCCCGACCTCCCCGCGAGAGGAGGGGACACCGGGAGGTTGTCAAAATAGCCTTATAAATTATTCAATTGGAGCGCAATTAAATTGAATTTAATTGATTAATCAACCAATTAAATTAAATTTAAATTAATTAATTAATGAAAATTAACTAATTGAAATAATATCAATTAAAAAAAGTTAATTTATGAAAATTAGTTGATAATTAAAATTAAATTGCTTAATTAAAATCAATTAATTAATGAAAATTACATAATTGATTAAAATTAATTAATTATAATTAATTAATGAAAATCCATTATTTAATTAAAATTAATTAATTAAAACCAAATTAATTTATTGAAATTAATTAATGAAAGTTAATTAATTAATAAAAAAATAATTAATTAAAATTAATTGAACTTAATTGATGAAAAGAATTAATTAATTAATTAAAATTAATTGATCAGTCAAATTAATTGGTATTAATTAAAATTTATTGGTTGGTTAATTTAAAAATTCGAGAGCATTAAAAATTGGAGAGCAATTAAAATCTATGAGTTTTAACAATTCAAGAGCAATGGAATTTTAATTTCAATTGGTTGATTAAATTTATCAATTAATCAATTAATGTGGAGAGAGCCACTTCGATAGGTGCTTGTTTTTTGTTTAAATAATATAAAAAAAAGAAAAAATAAAGAGCAATTTGCACTAGTCAACATGTACAACTCAAAATTGGAATTCTCAAACACTCTACTTTCTATACCCTTTACAAACAACTTTCAACTCAACTCTGCATTAGTACTCTTATACACTTTGCTCTCGAAACCCTATACAAAACTCTCAACTCACATACACTATGGTCTCCAAACTCTGCGAATTCTCTAAAACTCTTAATCAACACGAGCTCCTGCAACAACAACAACAACAACAACATCAAGCCTTTATCCCACTACGTGGGGTCGGCTACATGAATCCTTTTTCTCCATTGTGTCCTATTAAAAGTCAAATTCTCATTTAAATCTAATAGAGAAAGGTCATTCCTCTCTTTGTTTGGCTAACTTATACATATATCTTTCTCCCTCTTTAGTATCTAATCTATTATATAAATCACTAAAAGCTAATGCCTTTGCATCGCATATTGCTTTCTTAGCATCCTTACGAGTCACTTTATATATTTCCTAATTATCATAATTTTTAAAATTAAACCAATTTTTATAACAAAGCTTCTTATTTTTAATTTTTTCTTGCACATTAGGATTCCACCACCAACTATTTTTACTATTGGGAGCTTTTCCCTTTGATACTCCAAGGACATCTTTTGCAATATTCTTAATATCACTAGCCACTTTCTCCCACATAATATTAGCATCCTCATGTGACAAAATCTTAAGATCTAAAATCTTATTCCCAAAAATATTTTTGTTAATATTCTTTAAATGCCCCCATTCAATCCTAGAAAATTGTTTTACTTTATTTTTTATTTTGTGTCCCTTTATCTTAAAGTCCAAAACTAATAATCGATGTTGAGTACATAAATTTTCACTCGGAATAACTTAACAATCTTTGCAATCTAAACGATTTAATTTTCTAATAAGAAAATAGTCAATCTGGGTTGTATTATATCCATTTTTATAAGTGATGAGATGCTCATTCCTTTTCTTAAATAAGGTATTAGCAATTAAAAAATCATAAGCTAAATAAAAATCCAATATGATCTTGTCACTTTCATTCGTCGTTCCAAATCCATGGCCACCATGAATGCTTTTAAAATCATCTACCTCTCTACCAACATGTCCATTTAAATCTCCTCCAATAAAAACTCTTTCTTCAAGAGGTATATTTTGTATTAATTCTTCTAAGTCATTCCAAAAATTTAATTTAGAACTCATATCCAAACCTACTTGAGGAGCATAAGCACTTATAATATTAACAATCTTATCATCAACAATAATCTTTAAAGCTATAATTCTATCTCCAATCCTATTAATTTTTATAACATTATCCTTTAAACTCTTATCTATAATAACACCTACACCTTTTCTAGTACGACTCCTACCCGAATATCAAAGTTTAAATTCTAAACTATCAATTTCCTTAGCCTTATCTCAAACCCATTTAGTTTCCTGAATGCACAAAATATTTAACTTCCTATGAATCATAATATATATTAATTCCATTAGTTTTCCTGTAATGGAACCTATATTCCAAGTTCCTATCCTAATTTTAGTTTCATGGACTAGCTTCTTTGCCCACATCCATCCTTGATGTGGGAACCATTGCTTATTTAACACTGCACCCGGGCGCCGGTGCAGCGGCCCTTGCACACTTGTCACTGTATTCAGGTCATACAGCGCGTCGCTTCCAGGGGACGCCCTAGCATTAACACGAGCTCCTGCAACATACAAATAAAATTCATTAGCATCGAAATTAAATTAAAATCAAAATAAATGCTAAAGAACGAAAAAGAACAAGTGTTATGCTAAGCTACAAACATAAAATAAAATAGGTAGATAACTTCTAAGTTAAGTCGGAAGACCCACATTTTAGAAAATTATTAAATAAATTGTAATAATCCTAAAACCCAAACAATCAAATTCAAATTAACGGGAAGCTTAGCCTATAAGACTAGGTTATAAGAACCACTAGTGGGCTACTTCTAATAGAAGTCATAAGACCCGCTATTCGGGCTACTTTCAATGAAAGTTGTAAGTCCCGACCTAACTTTAAACACCCTGGCTACTTGTAATAAAAGTCGTAGGACCCGCTTCAATTCAAATTTTTGGGTAACTTCTAAATGAAGCTAGAAATCTCAAATCAAATCAACTTTTGGGTATTCTAATAGATGTAAATTCCAAAATCTGAATAAAATTAAAATTTACATCTAACCATCTCAGCTTACTTGGGACCGTTGAGAGGAGGCAATCTATGGTTGCTAATCAGATTTGCTGGATGTTACTATCAATGATTGTTAGTGTTGGTTGACTTAAACTTACGATATATCCGGGACTATGGTACTATGGGATCTTGATCGGGTTTACCTCTATTCCCCCCCCCCCCCCCCCCACAATTGAGATTAAAACACCTAAAAATTATTTATCCTTAATCGAGAGTTTTCTCTTAGGCGTTAAGAGGGGTAATTAATTATGAGTGCTTGCACTCATGTGAAGTAAAAACCTAGATCTAACTAAACCTTGACACTACCCTCAGGAGAATCTGGTTAGTTACAATCTCACATAAGAAAAATGAAATCCTATGGCTACGAGGCAGGATTCATGCCGTCACACCATTTTTCTTGAGCCAACACTGATTTCATTTCTGGCTAAGAAGAGGTTACGTGGCTGATATGACCTCATCTTTGAATTGAAGTATTTCCGTTGTGTAGGGGTTTTTCGATTCTGCAAGAATACTATTTTAGTTGTTTACAAGATTACATATTATTCCATAAACCCATTTGTAGAAACACATAGTGTGTAAAAAGTGTCTGCTTCATTTTTAAGTGCCATGGAAGTTAATGTACTTGAAATATCTAAAAATTTTTTGGGAGGATTCAATCACATAACTCAGTGATTGCAGTCCTACAAATGATGGGAATTCAAGCTGCAATTGATCATCCATACATCAGGAAGGGTCCGCCTACACCATCAGAGGTTAGCTAGACAAGATGAAAGAAATTTCTAGCACCCAGCCTGTTACAAATACATGGATCGGTTGCTTCAACATGGGTCAGCAGTAGCAGATGTGTGGCGACCTCAAAGCTGCACCCAAAGACTGACAATTCCAAGGGATAGAAACCGACTACATGATAGGATATCATAAAGCTGTTCTTTCAGTACTATTTGAATATTTGTCTAGTTTAACAAGATATGATCAAATCTTAGAATTTTTTAATATTTATTTCTTAAGCTATCTCTTCCCCTCTTATAGTGAAACATTGCATATTATTTTTAAGTCATTGTAGTTCCCATTTTAATGTATTTGTTACGATGACCCGGTTAGGAGAGTAGAGGTATTAGATTTGACTTATGTTAAGAAAGGTAGGGGTAGACCTAAAAAGACTTGGTTAGAAAATATTAGGAATGACCTTTCTTTATTAGATTTAAACGAGAATTTGACTTTTAATAGGACACAATGGAGAAAAAGGATTCATGTAGCCGACCCCACGTAGTGGGATAAAGGCTTGATGTTGTTGTTGTTGTTGTATGCCTTTAAGTTTTATATTTTTATCTTTTCACACACTTTTCGGTTCGCATCTCCTAAGTTCACATTTTGCTCATTTGTGAGTCTGTTGGCTTTGACATTGAGGCGAGATAAATCACCTAATGAACTAGCGGTATCTTGTTCATGTTTTTTTTTTTTGCATTCATACTTAGGCGGGTCCAGCTAGCTAAAAAATCAATGCCTATAAGTAGGGGAGTTCACATGTCATTTTTGTATAATTTTGACTTCAAGCACACGTAGAAGAGATGATGAGCTTTTATTTGCATATGTTGGCGAGCCATCAAAGTTCATAGTCTTTTTCATTGCTTTAATTTTTATGCTACGTTCTTGGGCATCTTTAGTTTTTTTTTTTTTTAAATATTACAATTTTAATTTATCATTCGCTTATTATTTTATTTATTCTATTTTATAAGCTTAAATATCATGTTAGAAAATCTTTTAATGAAATTTGACATTGCTTTTGCTCAGGTGCAGAACCAGCCTTCATTTTTGGTCGTGTCGGGGAGCGCCGGGGGGGACTTATAAGTAAAAGTGTAGAGATTTTTTTTTTAAAATGAGTAAATATCTTTACAACCAAAGTTTTTTTCAGTGACGCTGCCCTTTTACCTCTATTTGTTCATATCCTTGATCGTTGTACGCTTCACAAATATGTTGGGAGTCTAAGGGGGCAGCGCCCCCTTGCGGGGTTCGCTAACAATAACATCTTTACATAATGTGTTTAATTGTGTTGGGGCAATTGCCTAAAGATTAGTATTTTAAAACTTTTGGGGGGACAATTGCCTAAAAATCTTTGTAAGAAAGATTAAAAAATAGATGGAGGGGGACAAATTACCTAAAGAATCATATAATAATTTTTTTAAAAATTTTTGAGGGGGGACAATTGTCCTCCTAGGCTTATAGTGGATCTGCCCCTGCTTTTGCTCATCACCCTGCCCACACTCTCACTAGGGGGTAGCAAAAATAGGTCATCTTGCCATGACACTAAAGGAGATTTAGGGGCAGCGTGTGGGTCATCTAGCCTAAAAATGTGATCCCACCACACCAACAAAGGGTGCTTTATGGGCTTGTGCGAGTGCATTTTTGCTCATATTTGCATGTTCGTATTAGCTTTAGATGTATAGTTGTATTTGTTAGTGCCAAAATTTATTTAATTTTCTTTAAATATGTGCATGTTGCGCATTGATGGATGCCTTTCAAATATGTGTGCTTTTGGTCTTGTGTAGATAAATTTTTGTGTGTTTAATCTCTATAGATCACACATATGCACACAGGTATGTTGAGAGTATGCATTCACATATATTAATAAATTTTCGCCTACTGTATTTGTATCCAATGGCTTGAAATCTTGATTTATTACCTATCATATCAAATTCTTCATTATGTGGGATTTATTGGCCGCCTTTTTTTTGTCAGTAGACCCAAGAAATTGTAAGACTAAATGGCGTATACAAGCGGTTACTATCCAATGCTGGAGTGACCATCTTTGAGGGAGAGGGCAAGGTTGTTAGTGCTAACAAAGTTGAGGTGATTCAACCAGATGGGTTAAAGCAACAGTATTCGACCAAACATATCTTGATTGCAACTGGGAGTCGAGCTCAGCGTGTTAATATACCCGGTCAGGTTTGTATGACAATTATTGCCTCGTTTTATTCTCTTACTTCTGAATCACATAGCATCTTCTATTATACTCTGCATCCCTGGATGATTCTTAACTCTTTAGTTGCAATCCTATTGTTCAAAACGTGCTAGGGACATCTTCTATGTTCCTTGTTTTCCATCCCATGTTTTTTTGTCATTTTTGTTGCATTTCAGCATGATAGGGTACATTGAATGGATAATTTTTTTACTTGATATTGCAATACGTATTTAAATTGTTCTAGTAACATTGATAAAGTCCCTTGCATTTTCTGTTTCCTGTAAACCTGGGCTTTGATATGTGCATTTACTAAAAATAACCATGATTTGTATTGCCAACGAAAAGCAGGGAACTTCTGACAATAAGGGTAGGGTGTAAAAGGAAATGAATAGAATCCTTATAAAGGATGGAATCTTTGACACGACCAAAGTTTTATAAACATAAAAAATGCAAACAAATTATTTTTGATAATTTGATTTTTCTTATTTATTTTATGATTATTAGGATGTTGTATTCTACGACATTGTTATGATATTATGGCACAACTATTTATCTTCCTTAGACTCCTTCAGTCATATTATTTTAGTGATTATGCATCCATGCTGATGTGTGCTAGTCCTGGTTTGTGGCTCATTTGACGTTCAAATTTAGGCAGATGTGAAAACAGCTTTATATAAATTGCATTGATTGGGCAACTCTTTCAGGGGCTAGGTGCATGAATGCTTCATCTGCTCTAAAAATTGAAAGTCTACTTGGAATTGGAGGCTGCATTTTAAGCTAATGTAAATATCTTCATTTTGAGCATTATGACATTTCTTTTCTATCGGTGAATATTCTGAATGATAATCTTATCTGCCATGTTGGTGATTTCCTACTCTGAAGAATGAAAATTGCATTTTGTTAATGTTCTGTTTAATTGGTGAAGATATTTTTAGCAAGCATTCTGACGAGGAAGAAAATGCATATGCTATCATCGTTTCTAGCTTTTTTGATGCATGCATGAAGAAGTTTATTGTCAGTGTGGTGTCAATAACATCTGTCCTCTTGTTTCTATTTTGTTTTTATATTTATTTGTACCTTTTTTTGAAAAAAAAAAAAACATTGTAGGAGTTGGCGATCACCTCAGATGAGGCATTGAGCTTGGATGAACAACCCAAACATGCTGTGGTACTTGGGGCAGGGTATGATGCAATATTTTAAGTATTTTTCAAATTACCTTAAATAAGCTTTCACATGGTTTCCAACATCATGTATTTTCTTCAATCCTATGTACTCAGGTACATTGCTGTAGAATTTGCTTCAATCTGGCGTGGGATGGGTGCTGAAGTTGACTTGGTCTATAGGAAGGAGCTTCCATTAAGGTCTGTGAATTTGTTATCTCTTTGAGGCAAGTGAGATTATCTATCATGAAGCAAGCGAAGTTCTGGTTATTTCTTGTTTATATTGCCTATTAACTGCCATTGAAAAGCATAATGATATTATTTGAAGAGGATAAACAAGGAATTTAAATACTGGAAATACCAGCACCGTTTTCTCAACAATAGATCGTATTCCATGAATGTTATAGCTCAATTTAGCTACAACAATTACCTATAAAATGTATTTATCTATCAATAAGATCATCAGAGCTTATAAATTTGATAACACTTGCTAACGGTATCAGGGCATCTAGGCCTAAGGAGAGATAAAAGTAAAAAAAAAAAAAGAGTGTTGATTTTCTTCCTATCAATTCTGATGTCAACAATCCCTCATGCGTAAAGGTATTAAATGCATGACAAACTCACCACAATGTATAAGTTCTTGTACGTATTCTTTTTTATGCGATGGGGCAATCTTGTATTTGCAATTTTTTTTGTGTAGGTGAAAACTTATTCTATGTTTTTCTTGGCATGTTGGGGAGAAAACCCTTACATGTTTTTTTTTGCGAGGTGGGATAAATATTAGGGTCACAAAAAAAATGGACACATATACATTTTTCTTAACTCGGCGGGGAAATCAAATTCTGCATTTTTGTGGCATGTACAAAGATCCATACACCTTTTTTTGTGTGGTGGGTGTAGAAGATTAGGTCATGCTGTTTACACCTGTTGACGGAATTAAAAATAGAAATATTTTTTTTGGAAGATAACAAAACACACACATCGGTTTAGCTCAATTAATATTAAAAAAAAAAGAGGAGAAAAGGAAAATCGGAATCAGCCGAACAAATGCATTGTTCTGGGAAGCAACATATTCCTTCAATAATTCAGTCAATAAAAAGGGCAAAGAAATTGAACAAAGTAGACTTACACTCTCTGTTATGTTTCCTGTTCTTTCTAAACCCGTACGCTTTAGATGCTCCTCCATGTCCGATCTCAAGCCTAACTTCTCACCACGCAAGCACACTCCGACTACACTCGTCCGACCGAACCCTTACATGCATCCGCACCCAACCCGCACCTACCAACTCCTGCGTTTCCAAACCTATAGTGATAGCCCACGCCATCGCACTGGTCGATTCATGCGCATTCCCCAACCACCGTTCAACCCTGCTTGCTATGTGCAATCTCCCACGTGCTTCCGACCTAGCTCGCACGCGAGCCCGCGTGTCCGTTTTGACCCAGGCTTCCCCCTCCTTAGGCTTCGTCCCCGTGAGCACTCAATCCAATACTCTTCTCCGGCTCGAATCCTGCAAATGATATGTTCCTCCGATCTGGTAGCCCAGGCCCGTTCCGCCTATATTAGTTTACTTTGCGTAAGCACTGCACAAGCATTGTCTCTACTGCTTGTGCATTCAAAGTGAAATATATCTGCTTGTGTTCTCCTCTCCAGTGCACTCAAATAAAATATAATTCAGACCACCAAATATTACATTGTGCGTGAACAACCATGGCAACCAACTGCAATGGTTTAATTAATTAAAATTGACTACCATATAATTAAATGGAGTTTAATTTAGACAATAAATAGACATGCAATTCCAAGAATTGTGCCGTCAATCTTTGATCCGGGCAGGAAAGTTCAAAATCGAAGACCCGCGCTATCGATCTTTTTGATCCAAGTGGTGAAAATTTTAATCCGAAGACCTTACGCCGTCGATCTTTGATCTGGTTAGGATTATTTTTAGTTCGAAGACCCCGCACTGTTGCTCGTTAATTCGGGCGGGTATAAACCATGGCTAGTGCCATCCTGACCGCCCTCGCGTCGAGGGAACGACTGGAGGTTGCCGAAATTGCCCTGGGAGGTAGCCGAATTTTCAGGAGCTATTGGAGAGTAGTTTTTGAGAAGTTTTAAATAATTAATTCAATTAATACATTTAAGAATCAATTAATTTATTTAAAACAATTAATTTAATCATTACAAAATAACTCATTTCATTTAATAAATAAAATAATGAATTTTAAAGTAAAATTAAAATTAATTCATTTAAACTCTCATTTAATTAATTGATTAAATTCAAATCAAAATTAAATACTTTAATTAATTAAAATAAGATTAAAATTTATTTAATTCATAACTGACATTAAAATTAAATTAAATTGATTGAATAAATAACTTGAAAATATTCATTTTCTTTAATTAATATAAGAATAAACTAATTAAAATATGTAATTAAAATTTATTAATTATTTTAAAAATAACTTTGAATTTTTATTACAACGAGAAATTTAATAATATATTTAATTCAAAAATTAATTTAAAATCTAATTATTTGATTAATTATATAATTTGTAACTTCCTTTAATTCTTTTAATCAATTAATTAAAAATAAATTAATTGACCAATTTAAAATTCATTTAATTGATTGAATAAATAATATAAATGAGATAAATTGCAATAAGAGAAAATTATATTCACTCTAATAATCCTAAAATAACTCACACCAACTAAACAACCAAATTTCTAAAACTCAAACTAAAAAAACTAAAAAACACTAAACGTTAAATGCAAAACTCACAAAACTCTCAAACAAAAAAAAATCTAAAAACTCTCCAAATGCTCTTGGGCAAGCTCTGAAGGAGCACGAATTTCTGTAAACAAGTAAACAAAACTCATTAGTACTGAAGTTAAACTTCTAAAACAAGAAAATGCAGAGTACTAAAAAACTAAACAGCTAAAGCAAGAAAAGACAAAGTACTAAAATACTTGCTATCTAAAGCAAGAAAAGACAAAGTACTAAAAAACTAAACAGCTAAAAGCAGGTATTGAAAGTAAATTAGGTATTGAAAGAAAAAAAAAAGCAGGGTACTGTAGCAAAAACACTAGTGTCAAGTTAGAGCCACTAGTAAACTACTGAAAATTAAGGCTAGTGTCAAGCTACCAAAAATTGCAAACTAAAATACTTGCTATCTAATCCATCCTAAACTAAAACAATTAGGCTACTTTCAAAAGGAAGTAGTAAGTCCTATAAACCTACATGCAGCCTTACTATAGAGCTAGGTTGTAAGACTCACCATTAGGTCACTTCTAAATACAAAAGTCACAAGACTTACCCAAGTAAACCAAGCAACTTCCAATGAAAGTCATAATACCTATTATTTAGAAAACTTCTAAATGAAACATCAAACCCTCAACCAAAATAAAACGTGCAGTTTAGCCTATAGGACTAGGTTGTAAGACCAACCAACAAACAACTTCTAAGTGAAGCAAGAAGACCTACACATTAGGGAAACTTATAAGTGAAATACAATAACTCTAAACTCAAACAAACAGACTACTTCATAAGGGAAGTCATAAGTCCTATCTAAACTAAACTAAATGGACAGCTTAGCCTAGAGGGCTAGATTTTAAGACCCACGAACTAGCAACTTTTAAGTGAAATCATAAGACCCCCTAACTTATAAATAAAGAAAAAAAATCCTAAAATCCAAACAAAACTTAAAGGCAACTTCCATAGGTTAGCAGTAAGACCTACCCAAATAATTAAAATAAATCAAATAGCTTAACCTATAGGGCTAGGTTATAAGACCCACCATATGACTATTTCTAAATACAGATGCCGTATGACCGATCAAAATAGCTAGGCATCTTCCAAGTGAAGTTGTAAGATCTACTATTTGGAAAACCTTTACAAGAAATGAGGAACCTTCAACTAAACTATGAGACTACTTCTAAATATGGAAGCTGTAAGACCTATCAAAACAACCAAACATCTTCCAATGGAAGTTGTAAGACCTGCGATTTGGGTAAACTTCTACAAGAAGTGGAAGCCAAATTAAACATACGGTAAACTTTCATTGAAAGTCGTAAGACCCATTTCTAAATTCTTTGGGCAACTTCCAATGGAAGTTGTAAGACCCATTCCAAATTAAACCTCCGGGCTACTTCCAACGGAAGCTGTAAGCCCCGAACCAATTCAAACAAATGGGTAATTTCTAAATGAAGTCATAAATCTTAAACTAAATCAACTATGGGGTATTTTAATAAATGTAAATTCGAAACTTCGTTAAAATTACAACTCACTCATAATCACTTCAGTTTATTCTGGATTCTTGAGAGGAGAAAACTCATGGCGGCTAATCAGATTTTTTGAACACTACGATCAATGATCACTAGTATTAGTAGACTAAAACCTACGGTATACGCAGGACAACAGAAACATGAGATCTTGATCAGGTTTACTACAATTTCCCCTGCAATTGAAACTAAAAATACCTAATATTATTCATCCTTAATCGAGAGTTCTCTCTTACGCGTTAAGAGGGGTAATTAACTCTGAGTGTTTGTGCTCATGGGAAGTAAGAACCCATATCTAACTAAACCCTGACACTTCTCTAAGGGGAAATCTGGATAATTACATTCTAATTTAAGGGAAATGGAATCCTATGTATACAAAGCAGGTTTCATGCCAACACCGTTTTTCTTGACTAAAAGACACATGTACACACACCTTTTTTGGCGTGGTGGATAGACCTAACATTCCTTGATTTCCCCCTATACTTGAGGGATGTTATAAGGCTGTTGAAATTCTACCAATATTTTAACTTATTAGATTAACATGGACATAAGAACAATACAAAAATAAAAATGGACTAAATATAAAATTAAAAAAATCAAAAGAATGAGAACAAAGTTACAAATATTGAATCAAAATAATAAAAGAACTAGACACAATAACTTAATAAAGAACTCATTTAAGGATAAGTGCAAAACTTACTCCAACAAGACACTGTGGACTCCCAAAATTAACCAAGTTATCCTTCCTATTTATAGGAGGAAGAATGATTTCCCATGGAACCCACCACACGAAAATACAATCACATATGGACGAAAATTATGATAGCTTAGAATGCACAAAAGACGCCAACTCGTGAAAATCATAACGGGATCCACAACACAAAAACACAATTGGATAGAATGTGATCCTTAGAAGCTTAAAAAT